GGGGTAAGGGTAAGGTTAGGGGTTGGGTTAGGGATAGGGGTAGGGGTAGGGGTAGGGTTAGGGGTAAGGTTAGGGGTAGGGTAGGATTAGGGAACCCTACAGATGTTCCAAAGTCCCGAATTGCCGATGTTCCGAATTGCTAAAGTTTGAATTGCTGAAGTTTCCGAATTATAAAGTCACGAATTTCGGAAGTGCCAAACCGAATTGCAGAAGTATTTTGAGCTCAGCCACCCCTTTTACTGATCCATCACATTTTTTTGTCATCATGCTTGCCTACTTCTTTTCCAATCAAATCCTTCTTACAAAGATGTGATGTGGACAAAGAGCACATGCGTGGCAAGCATTGTGATTCATCAAACAAATGCTTCTTTATGAGATGAATTAAAGGCTTCTCTGTGAGAAGCATAGGGTCTATTTGAATCTCGTAGGGAGGATTTCAATGTACGCATATTTGTGAGGACGCTGAATGCCTAGAACTGAGTTTGACTTAGTTGTGATTAAGGAAGAACCATCGTACCATGTACTTAATGTGTCCCTTTAACAATTTTTATTTTAATATTTATAATCTTTATTTGAGTTTAGAATAAATAACAATATCAACTTGATATACAATTATATAAAAATTTAGAAAGTGTGTTAACATATTAGAACATATTTACAAATTCTTAGAGATGGTTTATATTTATTTTCCCAACATTTCTTTATCAATTACACAGGGAGTGCAGAATTAGTAGGCAAGTTGTATTTTTGAGGATTAATTTTATTATTGAACAACAACCATGTTCTCAATGAACCCAAAAAACTCATTAATATCAAAGCTGAATATTTTTGGAAGTAGTTTTTAGTTTGTTTTTAGTTATAGCTATGTTAGGGGGATATCTGTGTGTGCAGGTGACTATTACTGTGCATAATTATTAGGCAACTTAACAAAAAACAAATATATACCCATTTCAATTATTTATTATTACCAGTGAAACCAATATAACATCTCAACATTCACAAATATACATTTCTGACATTCAAAAACAAAACAAAAACAAATCAGTGACCAATATAGCCACCTTTCTTTGCAAGGACACTCAAAAGCCTGCCATCCATTGATTCTGTCAGTGTTTTGATCTGTTCACCATCAACATTGCGTGCAGCAGCAACCACAGCCTCCCAGACACTGTTCAGAGAGGTGTACTGTTTTCCCTCCTTGTAAATCTCACATTTGATGATGGACCACAGGTTCTCAATGGGGTTCAGATCAGGTGAACAAGGAGGCCATGTCATTAGATTTTCTTCTTTTATACCCTTTCTTGCCAGCCACGCTGTGGAGTACTTGGACGCGTGTGATGGAGCATTGTCCTACATGAAAATCATGTTTTTCTTGAAGGATGCAGACTTCTTCCTGTACCACTGCTTGAAGAAGGTGTCTTCCAGGAACTGGCAGTAGGACTGGGAGTTGAGCTTGACTCCATCCTCAACCCGAAAAGGCCCCACAAGCTCATCTTTGATGATACCAGCCCAAACCAGTACTCCACCTCCACCTTGCTGGCGTCTGAGTCGGACTGGAGCTCTCTGCCCTTTACCAATCCAGCCACGGGCCCATCCATCTGGCCCATCAAGACTCACTCTCATTTCATCAGTCCATAAAACCTTAGAAAAATCAGTCTTGAGATATTTCTTGGCCCAGTCTTGACGTTTCAGCTTGTGTGTCTTGTTCAGTGGTGGTCGTCTTTCAGCCTTTCTTACCTTGGCCATGTCTCTGAGTATTGCACACCTTGTGCTTTTGGGCACTCCAGTGATGTTGCAGCTCTGAAATATGGCCAAACTGGTGGCAAGTGGCATCGTGGCAGCTGCACGCTTGACTTTTCTCAGTTCATGGGCAGTTATTTTGCGCCTTGGTTTTTCCACACGCTTCTTGCGACCCTGTTGACTATTTTGAATGAAACGCTTGATTGTTCGATGATCACGCTTCAGAAGCTTTGCAATTTTAAGAGTGCTGCATCCCTCTGCAAGATATCTCACTATTTTTGACTTTTCTGAGCCTGTCAAGTCCTTCTTTTGACCCATTTTGCCAAAGGAAAGGAAGTTGCCTAATAATTATGCACACCTGATATAGGGTGTTGATGTCATTAGACCACACCCCTTCTCATTACAGAGATGCACATCACCTAATATGCTTAATTGGTAGTAGGCTTTCGAGCCTATACAGCTTGGAGTAAGACAACATGCATAAAGAGGATGATGTGGTCAAAATACTCATTTGCCTAATAATTCTGCACTCCCTGTAGTTTACAATATTATTTTCTGAATTTGTGTTCTTTTTCTATATACATACACACATACTAAAACCTTTGTGGGGGTCCATGAACTGGAAATCATATATTTGATGGTGAGAAGTGTATTAAGCATGACGAGCGCAAGGTATTTCCTGCTCAGTGGAAGCAGATTACTAATTCCAATCATAGCCGGTTCTTATTAATGACCAATGTATGTATTTCTTGCTCAGGTTGAATTTATATTGTTGATTAATTAATTTTCCCACACAGTCGTATATAAAGTGATCCTACCTGAATTTCTTAAAAACCCTTCTTCCATTTGACTCTAATATTTAATCTGATTATTTTTTATCTAGCCAAAGGGGTGCTGTTGGTACTTTCCAAATTTCCGGCTATCATCAGCTTGGTGGCCATTAAGATATGTATAAGCAATGGTTTTTGTCCGAAATTACAATTTGGAAAATCAAGGTGGAACAGGAATGTTTGGGGTAATAAAGTTACTTGCTATATGCCCAGCACTATGAATGTTAGAAATCACCCTCTTTATTTCTGCTAGTCCCTCACATTTCCACCACATGTGATACAATGTACCTACAACATTTAAACATGTCCAACAGGTGTCTGAATATCTATTTTTAAACTTCCTAATTCTATGTGGAGTAAGAAACCATCTGTGGATGACTTTTAAAAAGGTCATATGTAGACTAAGACTGTGAGTTATTTTCTTAACCGTGGTTAATGCTTCTCCCCATATATCCAATGGTAAAGATTTATTTCTATCTCTTTCCCATTTGACTATAAATTTAGGTTTATCCATAACAATTGAGTTCTTAATAAGATGTGTAGTCTTTTGTAATTTGTTTATTTTTATAGTGTTCATTAAAGTTTTTAAATTCTAGACATTCCTTAATCCCTTGATTGATAATAAGAAGTCTTATTCTAGTATAGTTAAAAAACTCTTGATCAGGTAATCCAAATTGGGTTTGTATTTCTGTAAATGATTTTACTTAAACCACAGGGGTGATTTGTATTACTTTTTGAATGTTGCCATTCTTCCATTTAGATAGATCAATATCATAGTTATAAAATTGGAGAACCTCAATTGGTGTTGGAAATTTCACAGCCATAATTATATCATTTACAAATGTATTTAAAATTGTAAGCATTTTATAGTAATTAGGTCTTATCCAGGCCAGTTTAAATAATGGTATTTTGAGCATGTTTTCTCTTCCATTGATTTCCAGCTTGAATTAACATTAATGCCATTATCCCATTTCAAAAAATGGATAAACATAGTACAATCGTGTAGCTCTACTATACCTGGGAAATTTATTCCACATTTATCAGCTCTTTTAATTAGTGTATTATATGAGACTCTGAGTATTTTACTTCACCACATAAATTCTATAAATAATGTTTTGAACTGGAAGAGTAGTGAAAGGTGTATTTTAAGAGTTATTGAATAGAATAAATAAATTCATTTTGGCATAACATATTCAGAGACTGTATTTATTCGGCCACGCCAACAAACTTCCAACCCCTTTCATTTCTGAAAGTTCTCTTTCTATGATAATGGTAATGCCTTATAGTTATATTCTATTATTTTATTTATATTTGATCCAATTTGTATACCTATATTCATATTCAATCTTCTCATTATCGCAATTCAAATTGTACCTTTCTTTTAAATACCTCAACTGATCTAAAATAATATTGAAAGTTAATATTTGGGTTTTACTTATATTTAATTTGTAGCCTGAATATTTACCAAATTCATAGTTTAGTTTTAAAACACATACAATAGACTCTGTTGAGTTAAATAAAGTTAGGAGAATGTCATCTGCATACAGTGTATTTTTCTAATGCTCAGAAAAAATATCAAGTCCACCAGTATTAGAAGTTTGTCTATTTGCAGCTTCCAATGGTTTTATGGTTAAAACATACAGAAATGAGACAACCTTGTCTGGTGCCATTCCTAATGTCAAACTAATTAGATACCATACCATGGCAGATAACTCTGGCTTGTGGATTAGTGTAGAGTGACATGGTACTCCCCTAAAAAAATCAGGCCAAAATTCTCCATGACCTAGTCCCTTTTGGTGATCTCAGAACTCACTGCAAAAATTAGGACTAAATAGTGGCGCAGATAAACATTTTCAACTCAACTATTTTAGTCTAAGTTTTTTAAATTGTTAAATTGGTCTTGTCTTACCACAGCTTTCTGTTTAATGATTAGACCTCATAGAGTGTAAGCATTCTAGACCACTGAGGTCGTCTCTTTGGTAGGGGCATTGCTATATGACAAAAAGATCAGAAAAAGGGACTTAGCACAATGGCAAGTGTTATGGCTCCTCCCACATATATAGCATTTAACCCCTTCCAAAACCCTGGGTTTATACTACCAGAGTCCTGGAGTATTTCACTAATGAACTTAAACTCAGTCCCTTTCTCCTTGGTCAGACTCAAGACTAGGAATGTTTGTTTTAAATCAACTTTTATTGTAGTCACATATAATGCAATGACTCCCTCACAGGGGAGGACTGTTATAGACAGTAAACAATCAAATAAAACAGATTGCACATGGTACGTACAGAGGTTGCGACCCATGTAATGTAGCAAAGATGAAGCCTTGCAAACATCCTTTAAATAAAACTTCCAAACATCTTGGGTACAATTTTCCCACATCTGTTCTACCGCTCAAGTTGTCACAGGGTGTGGATAGCTTGGCAATGTGTTCTTACCTCTTTCCATATCCCTCTATCTGCTCCATCCCACCCACCAACACACAGAGGGATATACTTATTTACAGGAAAATCCTGATGATACGCCTCTGGTTAATCTGTAAAGCAGAAAAGCTCACAGAGCATAATACTGTTTTATCACACAGAAAATCATCTCTGTCATAAATTTTCTGTGTGATAAAACAGTATTATGCTCTGTGAGCTTTTCTGCTTTACAGGTGAATCAGAGGTGTATCATCAGGGTTTTCCTGTAAATAAGTATATCTCACTGTATGTTGGTGCTTATTATTGCACACTCTGCTTATTGCCATGAATGTACATTAAAGCTTGTCTTCCCATCTCTGCATACATGGTGGCTGCAGAATGTAGCGGCAGGTTGTTAATATGTTGTATACAGTATTCAGGTAGATTAAAAAGCATTAATGTCCCAAAAAAGACTTTATAAATAGCTTTCCTGGACAAGCTCCAGGAGCATGCAACAATCTCGAACAGCAGTCAGACCCCCTCCCCCACTATATTTTTTTCAACATAAAGTTAGAGTCATATTTATCAATATTTTTGCTATTCAGATGACGTATTTGTTGCCATGTTGTTTGCTCAGTATGTTGCACTTTGTCCCAGAGTAGCATCCAATTTTGTGAAGATAACCCCCACCCCAGTTCTAAAGTACTTTTTTTCTATAAGTACAATTAATGGCCTCTGGTTAAGGTCTTTTCTGATTAAGAGAGAACATTCTATTTTCCACCTTGGTTTACATTACACGAAGACGGGAACGCTGACAGGCTATGTACAATATCACTTCACATTATTTATTCAGCACCTTACAGAAAATGTGGGCCAAAGAAGAAAGAAAAAAACAGACATGATAAAAGCCATAATTGCAAAGTTCATTGATATATATTGTATGCCTTTATCTTGTTGATTTATTGCAGTGATATTTTTGAATTTTGTCAGTGTTTTTCCCTTGCTTTAATCATTCTCAAATCATTTTATGTAATTAAACTTAAAGAACACACACAAAAGACAATATATAACACCTACCAATACCAGTAAAGTTCAGTATGTATTCATCTTTTATATGTTAATAGGGGAGAGAATGTGAGTGTGTATGTCTACAGATTCAACAGGAAGACAGGAATTGACATAGTGACGAATAAATGGAGAGGGAAGACTTTAGTTCTCCTGTTTAACCCCTTCAGGACGGGGTTTAACCCCTCCAGGGGATGCCCTTAACGACGGGTGACGGACCTCGTCCGTCACGCGGTAAAATTAACCCCGCGATCGCCGCAGTGCCGGCGATCGCGGGGTTAACGCTGTTGCTGGGTGCCTCCGAGTCAGGGGCAGACCAGCAACAGCAAATCGCAATGTCCCAGCACATGTGATCGCTGTGACAGCCAGTCACAGCGGTCACAATGCTGCTGGGACATCTGATCCGCCTCCCTCCACCTCTTGTGGGTTTGTGAAGTGGAGAGAGACGGATCGGTGCTACATTGTGTCCCTGAGGAATAGCTAAGGTGTAATAAAAATTAACTATCCCTTTCCCCTGTCAAAAAAAAAAAAATTAACCCTTTCCCTGCTGCTTGATCACTGCTAGCAGTGATCAATATACAGGTCACAGTACTTTACTGTGATCTATTTTTTTTTTACACTTAAGGGTTAAATTTTATTTATTTTTTGTAACCCTAAGGGGTTCAATTTTATTATTTTATTTTATTAATTTGTGATTTAGTTAGTTGGGTGGGTGGAATTTAGTGTTAATTGGGGAATTTAGTTAGGGGTAAAAAAAAAAAAAAAGTTTAGTTATTTAGTTAAAGTTTTCTTGTTTCTGTGTTAACTGTATTAACAATGTTGCGAAAGTATAGCGCAGAGGAGGCTTATTCCCTGTTAGCCGCTGACTCAGAGGCGACCGACACTGCCTCAGAGAGTGACGCAGGGAGTGACGCAGGGAGTGACGCAGGGGACAGGGACTATGTGCCAGATTCTGCAGTAACATCAGAGGAAATCGCTGATTCCCCTAATGTTCAATATGGCACAGATGACTGGGTACCCCCTAATCATTTTTCGCCAGACATCCCAGTGTTCACTGCCAATCCTGGCATACAGGCTGACCTGTCTGGCTATAATGCGCTGGATTGTATGGAGCTGTTTTTGGGGGATGATTTTTTTGGGGAGGTAGTTACCCAGACAAATCTGTATGCGGAGCAATATCTTGCACGCAACCAAGACTCCCGAATCGCCAGGACAGAGAGATGGTACCCAACCAGTGTGCCAGAAATTAAACAATTCTGGGCACTGACAATGTTAATGGGGATAGTTAAAAAGCCCACAATTAGAATGTATTGGACTAAAAATCCTATTTTTAATACCCCCATTTTTTCCCAGACAATGCATAGGGAGCGATATGAGGACATACTGCGTTTTATGCACTTTAATGACAATATGAAGTGCCCCCCAAAAGGTCATCCACAGTATGACATTCTTTATAAAATACGCCCCCTAATTTCCCACTTAAATGAAAAATTTGCCACTATTTACACCCCCAAAAAACACATTTCAATTGATGAGTCCCTCATGAAATATAAGGGAAGACTGGGATTTAGACAATATATCCCATCCAAAAGATCCCGGTATGGGATCAAATTTTATAAATTATGTGAAAGTGGCAGTGGCTATGTATACACCTTTCGTGTATACGAAGGAAGGGATAGCCACATTGATCCCCCAGGTTGCCCAGATATAATAGGGACAAGTGGGAAAATTGTCTGGGATTTAATAATGCCCTTACTTAACTATGGTTATCACTTATATATTGATAACTTTTATAACAGCATCCCACTCTTACAAATGCTGTACTGTTTTGAGACCGTTGCCTGTGGCACTATCAGGAAGAGTCGCACAGGTTTCCCAAAGGCTCTAGCAGAAAAAAAATTAAAAAAGGGGGAAACAGCAGCTCTCTGCCAGAATGAACTGCTGGCACTCAAGTACCGCGATAAAAAGGAGGTTTTCATCCTAACTACCATCCACGGGGAAAACACTCGCAGGGTCGCAGTTCGTGGCAGAGAGGAATATAAATGGGTGCCAGTCTGCATACAGCAATATAATCGACATATGGGGGGAGTTGATCTGTCCGATCAACTAATGCAGCCGTATCTAATCATGCGCAAAACCAGGGCATGGTATAAAAAAGTGGGCATATATATAATGCAGACGGCAGTCCACAATGCCTTTATTATTTTTAAAAAGGCAAATGCTCAGCTGAAATGCACATTCCTTTCATTTCAATTTCAGCTAATTTCTGGGTTACTTGAGTGCCACAGAGGGGGACCATCAGTCGAGCTTAGTAGAAGAATGGAGGTAGGTCACTTCTGCTTCAAGATTCCATCAACCCCCAGAAAGAAAAACCCCCAGAAAAGATGCAGGGTGTGCTACAAGAGGGGCGTAAGAGTTGAGACTAGCTATTACTGCCCTGATTGCCCCTCTCAGCCCGGCCTATGTATTGGCCACTGTTTTAAAGTTTTCCACACCCAGGCCGAATAAGCAGACCAGTTTTGGGGTCTGAATTTAGTCAACTGTCTGGTTACCAAATCTTGGCTTTGTCTCCCGTTTATCCTGTCTTCTCTGATCCTTGACCTCGGCTTGTCCTATCGTTGTTCCGTTTCTCTTTACCCCTTTGACCTCGGCTTGTACCTTGACTATTCTCTGCTTGTATAGCCTGGCCATTCTAAGGACCGGTATTACAAGTGTCTCTCTCTGTGTTCTCTCTCTTTGTAGTCTGTCTGTGTTTTGGAATCCGTGACAGCGTTGCCCGTGACACAGATCACTGGGTACTATCCAGATAGGATTAAGCCAACTATTCCCCCTTTTCACAGCAAATAGTATGCACTTGTTCATAATTTGAATTGATGAGCTGCTTATACTTAAAAATATATATGTGGTCTTTGAGAGGTAATTTGCAGTCCTGGGCTGCTAAAATAACACTTTGGCCCAGCATCCACTTTTGAAAAATATGAAAGTGATGTGTCTCCAAGGTGCCCCTTCAACATCCACATATCCCTGAAAAAGGTACACATGGGGGTATTGCTGCACTAAGAGGACATAGCTGAGCAACATATTAGGTGTTCTACTGCCATAGCACACATAAGGATTACAAAATATACAGTAACAACTCCAAGTGTGTGTCAAAAAGGCAGAAAAAATGCTCATTGTAACTAGACTTGGTACAAACTAACAAAAAAATGATCCAACGCTAAGGTTTAAAATATATCTTTTGAAATGCCCTGGGGTGTCTACTTTAAAAAATGGTAGGCCTTTGTGGGGTAATTTGAACTTGAAACCTGCTAAGATGCTTGGAAATTGCACATGGGCCGAGCGTCAAAATTCAAAGTTCGGTAAAAACTGATATGGCTTGGTCTCCAATGTGCCCCTTCAACATCCACATATCCCTGAAAAGGGTACACCTGGGGGTATTGCAGCATTAAGAGGACATAGCTGAGCAACATATTAGGTGTTCTACTGCCATAGCACACATAAGGATTACAAAATATACAGTAACAACTCCAAGTGTGTGTCAAAAAGGCAGAAAAAATGCTCATTGTAACTAGACTTTGTACAAACTAAGAAAAAAATGATCCAACGCTAAGGTTTAAAATATGCCTTTTGAAATGCCCTGGGGTGTCTACTTTAAAAAATGGAAGGCCGTTGTGGGGTAATTTGAACTTAAAACCTGCTAAGATGCTTGGAAATTGCACATGGGCCGAGCGTCAAAATTCAAAGTTCGGTAAAAACTGATATGGCTTGGTCTCCAATGTGCCCCTTCAACATCCACATATCCCTGAAAAGGGTACACATGGGGGTATTGCAGCATTAAGAGGACATAGCTGAGCAACATATTAGGTGTTCTACTGCCATAGCACACATAAGGATTACAAAATATACAGTAACAACTCCAAGTGTGTGTCAAAAAGGCAGAAAAAATGCTCATTGTAACTAGACTTGGTACAAACTAACAAAAAAATGATCCAACGCTAAGGTTTAAAATATATCTTTTGAAATGCCCTGGGGTGTCTACTTTAAAAAATGGTAGGCCTTTGTGGGGTAATTTGAACTTGAAACCTGCTAAGATGCTTGGAAATTGCACATGGGCCGAGCGTCAAAATTCAAAGTTCGGTAAAAACTGATATGGCTTGGTCTCCAA